CAAAGACCCCTGCAGCTCCGGCGGGCACCGCAGCCAGCACCCCCCATTAGATCTGTGCAAACCCCCCGGGTCCTGGGGCAGGAGCAGGGTGAGGACCCCTGCAGCACCCTGCACCCCCCAGAACGGTTTTCGCTGCACCCCCCGGCTCTGTAAGCCCTCGGATGTTTCAAGATCAAGGTCACTCTTGTCTTAAGCCCTAATCAGCGGCCGTAATCCCCCGGCTGTCGCGGGGACTTAATAACTTTGCAGATGGTGCGGCCGAGGCCACCGGGCAGGCGCCCACCGAGATGCTGGGGGCAGCCCCGGGGAGGGGGGGGGACACTTGGGCCGAACAGCCCCAGGCAGCAGCTCCCTGCTTTCTCCGACATCCCCTAGGGAAGCACATCTGGAGGGGAAAACACATCTGGAGGGGAAAACACAGGAGCTATCATCCCGTCCAAGGGCTTTCCCGGTGGGTGCCCCTGGAATAAGCTGCACCTTTGGGCACAACCACTAATCCAGGCCTCCAGCAGCTTTTCTGGCCCATTGAGGGAACCAACCCGCCCCTGGTTCCCTTGCCATCTGCTTTGCTCATGCTCCGAGTGCCGAACCCAGCACAGTCAAACCTCACCCCCCTCTGCTGCAGCTTCCCCGGGGGTTCCCGCTCCCCGGCCACGTTCCCACGGCTGGAGCTATTTCCCCACCTCCCGTGTGGTCCCTTCGTCACCCCAACAGGCCCCGGGCGCTCCGGGGTCGGGCTCTGAGCTCCCGCTCCCCCGGGGCTCTGAGGTTTTTCCCTTTGAGGAAGCTCCAGGGAAGAGGCTGCCCCCCGGGGGGGCCACCCCTGCGATGCTGCTCCCCACCACGCCTGGGCTGATGGAAACCTCCCGCTCCCTTTGTTTTCCCCTTTGTATTCCCCGCCCTGAGAAGATAGAAAGCCACCACCGCTGGCTCATGATTAAGCTCGCTGAGCTAATTGAGCCAGGGAAATGAAGGTGTGGAGGGGATGGGGAAGCAGCACGGGGGGTTTTTTTGGTGGGGAGGACGTAATGTGAGCGGGAAATCACCACGGGCACGGCTTGGAATGGCTCTGGACTCTGCGGATGCTCCAGCCCCACCACATGCACCAGGGAAAAGCTGGAGAAAACCCCCAAAGCCATGTCTAGGGGATGGGGGCTTATGATTCAGGGGGTGAATTAAAGATGCTGGAGGAGGGTGGAGGGGAAGAGGAAGAAATTCAGCCCCGTTTCCCAGCAGACAGGGCTTTGTTTCTGGGTTCAGAGCATTTAACGCTTACCTGGGGATTTTTCTGCTGGCAAGTTATCCTCACAAAGCCGGCGTGACTTTGGCAGGACACCTACATGTGTTCCCCGATCCAGCCTGGCTGTGCGGGCAGGAAACAAAGCAGGAGAGATCGGTCAGCTCGGTTACAAAGAGAAACCCCATCCCTGAGCAGCCCAAGGCCCCAGCTCGCTTCCACCTTCGGAAGCCGAATTTCTGCATTTAACTCCGACCAGGTCCAGTGGCTTTGCAGGACCCTGAGCCCCCTGGGTTGGGGGCTCCTGGGCCAGAGTAGGGGAGACTCCATCCACAGGGAATAGTGAGGCCAGAGTCCTGCCCCACCACTGGCTCTGTGCGAAGGCATCCCGGGACGTTTCGTGCTGCCCGTTAATTGCCAGAAGATGCCAAACCCATGGGGTTTTGTTCTGCTGCCTCCCCTTGCAGCGGGGAGAAGGGGACGGGCTGGAGCAGCACCCCGGCATTGCAAACCTGGTGCACCGCCACAAAAAACCCAAAGCCCCCCATGGTGACCCTACCTGCAGGGTGCATCACGGCAGAGCACTCGGAAAGCCCGGCGTTGGTCCCGGCAGCACGGGCAGGAGCAGCACCATGATATGGGAACGGCTGGGAATAATGTTCCTTGATGAAAGGCAAAGAGCTGCCCAGCGAAGCAGGGCTGCCTCGGGTTGGGGTCTTACGTCCATGGGGGGTCACGATTCCCTGAATGCCCCCAAGGGTGGTGCATGAGCGAGGTCGGTCGGGGTCTTCGGAGCATGTGGAGCGGGGGTCCGAGTCCCCGGGGCTGCACCCCCACAGCAAGGGTCGGCTGCCCCGAGCTCGGGTGATGGGCACAGCGCTGAGGGCCGGGACTGGGAGTTGCATAAATGGGATTATTTCTGCCTTGCAGGGGGAAGGAACCCCTCTGACGAGGTGTCCCCCTACCACCTGACCCCACAAACCTCGATCTACCCTTCTCTCAGGCTGTCAACTCAAACCCTCGTAAATCCCATCGAACAGCTCCGTCCGGCCGTTCCGAAACGCGGGAGAAGCCGGTTTTGCAGCACACTACCCCCTCGTCTCACAGACCTGTAATTAGCAGAGCAGGAGGCTCAGACCTGGCGCTAATTTTAGCAGCAGGCTTCAAGGAGTTGGCGCTTTCCCTGCAGGATGACGGCCACCGGGACGAGCCCCCGAGGGCTGATGTGCTGAGAGGCTTTTAAGCCTGGCTTAAAAGCGAGGCTTGGTTACTGCAAAAAGGGAACAAACAGAAGTTGTTTTGCTTTTCAGAAGTCATTCTTTCACAGTTTGAGTTGTCTGACATATTCCTGGCTAAATAAATATCCTTGATCCTTAGGAATAGAATTCCTTATTCAAATAATCATTCCAAGCAACATCCCAATGTTCCTGGGATGTTCCAGTCTGGGATGGCCTAACCGGCACCGACTGCCTCATTTCCCCATCACCACCGTGGTCTGGGGAGGGGACTGAGGGATTGACGTGAAAAACAGCGTTTCAGTGTCGTATTTACGGGGGTCTGGGCACCTCTCCCTGGTACGCCTCCCCCCTCCTGCGGCTGCCACCACGGAGAGGGGCTCCCTTGTTCATCATTTATATTTATAATTTATTTTTAATAGCAAAGGCAGCACTTAAAGAGCCAAACTCGCTCTTTTTCGAGGGCATCGATTTCTTTTTTCCCTGGCCGAGGCCAGCGCGTCAGGGTGCAGGACAGGAGGGAGCAGCCCCCGCTGGCTGGAGCGGGGCGAGACCCCGCAGCCGGAGCTGATGCAATCCCGCCCCGCTCTTACACGGCAGCCGCATCACGCTACCACTTTTGGGACCGGGGCCAAGGATTTGCAAGATCGAAAGGGAACTTGAAGCCTCTCTGGTGCCGAGGGGATGAGGAGGGGATCCCCTCGGTGGGGAGCAGCGCCGGGGGGTGCAGAGGGGATCAAGCCC